CTATTAAGCTCGCTAGTATCTTTGTCTGAGTTTGAACACAGATGAACTTAGTTTAATATGTTAATGGGCATGTATTGGAGAGAGTTTACTTTGTGTTTCTATAATTATACAGTGGTTTATGCGAAAGCAGGGACGTATAATGAAGGGGATTAGCAACTCCCTCTCTGCCTTACCAATTTTATGACACGTCAATCTAGACTTACCTCCCCCTTATTCCGGAGCAGATAGCGCCACCTATCTCAATTTTGACAAAGCAAGATGGCGTCGATGCCGCTTCGTTAGATGCAGAAGTTGGTGTGAAAACAAACCAATCTCGATAAGTGTTCTTACGTCTTTTGATTTATTTTTGATTTAAACATATTTTATTGTAATTTATATACAATGGGNTTGTGGTATCATAGTAATTGATGTCTTGTTTTTGGGGTATATTTTTCTATTTTTAAACGCGATGTAACGCGTGGTTCAGAGTATGGTGGTGGGCGTCGATAGACAAAAATGCGGGATAAAAAAAACTACATGTATGTGAACCACCTCACTCCAAAAGTAATTGACCGATCTTTTTTAAATTAGCAGCAATAGAAAGCTGAATAAATTTTATAACGACCTAACCCATTTTAATTGCAAATAATATAATTTAACTTGTGTTATTTTTGTGTCAAAAAGACTAAATATCAGCATTATTTTTCACTGGAACGTAAATCATTATTGCGAAAGTAGTTGGTGACTGCTCACTGTTTTGATAAGATTTTATGAACTATCGATTATATTTTTTAAAACAATTAACATCAATAAACAGCCGAGTAATTTCTATGTTAAGTAGGCCTGATTTGATTTGCATTACTTGGAACGATAGCGATGTCACAGATGAAATTACTCGTCTGGTAACGAAGGACACGTGTTGTTAAAACCGTAAACAAAAATGCTGGATACAAAAAACCCACATCTATGTGAACCACCACACTCCAAAAATATTTGACCGATCTTTTTAAAATTAGCAGCAATAGAAAGCTGAATATTTTTTATAACGACCCAACCCATTTTAATTGCAAATAATATAATTTAACTTGTGTTATTTTTGTGTCAAAAAGTGTAAATAACAGCAATATTTTTCACCGGAACGTAAATCATTATGAGAGTAGTTGGTAACTGCTCACTGTTTTTGATTAATTTTATAAACTATCGTTTGTATTTTTTAATACAATTAATATCAATAAACAGCCGAGTTATTTCTTTGTTAAGTAGGCCTAATTTGATTTGCATTATTTGGAACGATAGCGATGTCACATATGAAATTACTCGTCTGGTAACGAAGGACACGTGTTGTTAAAAACCGTAAACAACCGGAAATGTTAAACGCAACAAAAAAGTATCGTCTGCATTCGAGGTTCAGCTCATTTAAAAATTCTTCTTTTTGAAATTTACAACGATAGAAAGTTGAATAATTTTTTGATATGTAGTACTATTTTTTATGGCAGAAAATAACAAATAACTTGTGCTGTTTTTGTGTCAAAAAGTGTCAATATTAGCATTATTTTCACTTGAACCACAGGGGCACGTTACAAATGTCTGAAATACACACATATGCTATACTGATATGGGTCACAACACACATAAACATACACGTGTTTATGTTTATGTTTATGTGTGTTGTGACCCATATCAGTATAGCATATGTGTGTATTTCAGACATTTGTAACGTGCCCCTGTGCTTGAACGTGCTTTATCATGAAATGTGATTTGTTGTAATAGCCACCAACACAGCCGAAAGGCTAGACATAGTGGCAAAGATAGCCCTGTCACTGGAATAAAAAGAAGACCTACTGATACACAGTCCCAATCAGGGCTAACCGTTATCAAAACACATTGATCTCTTCAAAACAATCGAGATTGTTGACATGACACCGAGAGCGTGCTTAATTTTAACGCTAGTGCGCAAGCGCGGGCTGATCGAAGGGGGCTCTCGATGACTTCGCGGTTCGGTGAACAAACACAAAAGCGACGTGCTATAGAATCTTGACTGGGGCAGAGTTGCCAATCGTCCCTGGCGAAAGTAAGGGATAAGTGACTGGTTAGTTTGATTTTGCCATGAGTCCCTCCATGTTGTGTTGTGATGGCCCACGGCGTATTTTCTGGGTCACCGAGATACGTTTTATCTAAGTCTGTGGATTTACATAATTTATAATATTACCGGGTTCAATAAAATGGTATGATTTAATTATATTGCTGAATTAAACGATTATTTTTGTTTTTACATGCAAGATTGAAATTAGTACCCGGCCTCCTCTGCCCCGGCAATATATAAAAAAAAAATCAGAAAGGTTTGTCCCTTGGTGTAGGGAAGGTGTTTAGCCCCGTACCATCTGTACCGGCCACATTCCGGTACTAGATTCAATATATATTTAAATATATATCTACTTTATGTTTATGCCTATTATCATTGTTGACATTTAATTGTAAATGTATGACGGGAGAAGGCTGTGATCAGTTGTACAAACTTGTGCCCCATCCCTTGTTTAATTTTATTGGCAACAAATTTATGTTTAAAGCTAAATACATTTAAATTCTGAACATTGGCAAGTGTGCAAATAACTTCTAATGATGAATAATTACTGTTCAATAAGTTTGAATACGGACTTAGAAATCATATAACTTGGTTTCATAGTGCGGTAAGAAGTTGCAGTTGCCTGACGGCCCCTGTCTGGGGGTCCCTTTGGAAACCGTCTCATCTCGCTCGCACTACTTGTGTTCATTGCCTAGTCTGGTGACGTAATCGGCGCTATTTTTAGCAGGGCTTTCCCGAACAATTCAAGTGGTCAAACTGGACATTTGGAACGGACTATGAATATGGGGATAGCGAGGTAACATAAGTGGAAGTGCATACAATACATACATTCATTAAAAAAAACGCCTTTTCACGTGATGTCCCTTTAACTGTAACTAATATCTTGTGCTTTATCTGATATTGTAACAAATAGCCCACAACGTCCACCAGAAGACGAAAAGTCGAAATTTCAACTCATTTGAAAATCTTTTAAATGTCTTATAAACTGTGCGTTTGCAGAGTTATTTCCCCTCTCATTAAGTAAAATTAAACTAAAACCCCTCATTTTTCTTTAAAATAACCCTCAAAAAGATCCAAAATTGTGTTTTATATTTTGAAATTCAACATCAACTTGTACTTATATGCCAAAAATTTCTGAAAAAATGAACATATGTACGTTAATAAATCTCACAAAAAAATAAGAAGTGTCCTAGTAGATATTATTGCTTTTATAAGATANCAATCAATCAATCAGGGCATAGTCTATAAGTTGGTAACCAAAAAAAATGGTTTAATTTCTGTCTTTTAATCTTCTGATTTCTAAGGTCATATATCAATTTGATTCAAATTATTTTACTATATATATATCCCTCGAAAGCTTAAACACTTTTGCGTTACAGTTTTATTGCTCGTTTCTGTCCTATTCAACAGCCGAAGGCAGCCGTGGTACAGTTTAAACAGACATTGGCCTATTGACATTTAAAGCTTCTGGAATGATCAGCATTCAAAATGTATCACAGCAATATGATATGAAACCAACCCTTACGTTTAGGAAATGTGCGGTCGTTAAATTAATGGTTATTTTATTGTTATAAACCAGCGGTTGTCACGAGTACCAAATAAGTAAAGTTTAAATTGACTTATCGTAGCTTGTTATGTTATATTGCGATGAATGTTTTTACAAAACAGTTGGGCCTAACTTGGTTCCGTACTCCTTGCAAAATTAAATCCATGGATGGCGTTGACAATATGTATACTTTGCGTTCTATGCAGCCAAGTTAAGATTTGACGTCCACTTTTCCTTAACATTACTTTTATTTGTCACCAACTTCGGTAGCTCACTTCCTTTCCAGCCTATTTTACTTATGTATATTGTTGAACTTAAACATGGGCCCCAAGACAATGGGAGCAGAAGCGGTAAGGTACACGTAATTACAAAAAAAAAATGTACCGGAACATAAAACAAATTTAAACGACAAACGTTTATTAATTCATGCCTCGTTATACATATAATTCGCATTAAAAACCCCACTTTTTCAGCTTAACAAACATCCTACAAGACGTTTCCTGTGTCAGCCCTCAACTGAGGAGTTAAAACAGACTTCAACATTCCTCAGCATCAACCCGATGTTTTAATCGAAACATTAATAGCTCGGGGTCAGTTTCGGTCATTTGATATCAGTGGCCACTCTCGGCCACACAATAGTGTACCATAGTACACAAACTTCAAATATGTCCGGCCGCTTTCGGCAAACGGACAGAAACGAAGCATAAATGCTATGCTTCGTTTTGTGTGCACAAACAAAAGTGAATGCTTCACAAGTGCCTGGCCGCCTGCGGCCATCGTAGAGGAAGATATTTGCCTGCGTCCATCTTTTTCCTATAAAAATATTCTATTAAAGCGTCATTGTTAACTCAGAATTTTAGTACATGTAATAGGAAAACTGAAGTGATTTTTAGTACCAGAAAAATAGTTTTTGATTTGACCTTTGACCCCTTGCAGTTTCCTTGAGGCCACCAACATGTGGTGCCATAGCAAAACTACCTATACAGTTTTACATTAATGTGGAGAAAGCACATGTTCGTACAGTACGAACAAGTATTTTAGTGATTTGATCTTTGAACCCTTACTGTGACCTTGGCCTCCAGTGTATATAGCTGTGTGCAGAACACACCACTTCTTTTTACAGTTCATACGGACAAGTAATTGATGATTTCACCTTTAACCCTTGCCATGAACTTGGCCTTAAGTACATAGCTGTGTGCAGTTACGCATCACTTCTTCTTGCAGTACATATATATTATGTATAAGGTTTCTTTAAATAACCAATATCCATCAATTGTGACAGTCTGTACGAGATCTGGACAGACAAACAAGAACTGGAGGGACGAACAAATGGACAAAGTGAAGTCTATATATGTACCCTCATTAATAATGAAATAAAACAAACACAACAATATTTCAGCCCAATTTTATTCCAAGATATTTCCTGTGTAAATCTGTTTAAATTTTTATTTCCAGGTGGTATTTGCAATCATATCTACATGAACGTTCACCCGTTTAAAAGTTATCATTTTTAAATCAATCTTGACAAAAAGCACATGCACACTCACACCATACCAGAACCAACCAGAGACATGGGCTAAAACTGTTGTTGCACGTTCTTATCCACCTCATCACATTCTTAGGTCCATTTGTATTACAGTAACAAACTGGCAGCTCCAAAGCTTTTTTTTAAATATTTGTTTGTACAAGTTTCAATAAAAGATGACATTAACAGATCTATGTGTTGAAGTTTATTAAGTATGAGACAACAGTATCATCTGTTAATGAAGATAATGATACGTTGTCGTTCTGTAACCTACCCTGCACCAAGTGGGGGACTCTTTATACCCTATGACCTCCTTGTCTAGCTCCTCCCCAAACAAGACTACTTCCTCAAACATGCTATCGATACCCGGCTGTCAATAAAGGTAATAATTATCTTCTCAATGTCTAAACAATATTGCTTGGTATGTCTTTTTCTGTAAAAAAAAAAAAAGGAAAAAGGAAAAAAGAAGAAAAATTATTTAAATGTGTACTTGAACCACCTACAATATTTAGGTATAGGATAATGATAATTTTATTAGTCATTAACTTACTGGTAGATACTGATGTAAAAAAATTGTGCAGACTCAAGTTATTTCTTTCCTGCATTTCAATTAAAAAGGTTGAAAACTATCATCTCAACTGATTTTCTTGACAAATTTGTAATAGCTTTAAGACAGGAGGCATAGAAGTCCAGTACAAAAGTTACATTCAAACTCGGTTAGGAAATGTCTTCTCTAAACACCAAATCAAAAATATAGTGCATATTTCTATTGGAAGCATGCTGGGTAACAGCGAGTGAAGTCAAGATTCTAGTGATGGACTTTGGGCAGGAACAAACAACTACCTACTGTAGCAGAATCAATCACTACGTGTACTTTTTTGTTTATTTCATTCCAGGATTTGAAGAATTAAAAGTAAAATGTCCAGATTGTACCTCTGACTTCTGTTAATGTCGACATCTCAGAATGTTTATCTGAAAGTCTACAGCGGAAGTCAGACGTGGATCAACCGACAACAATGGTAATGCCCAAAGTACATCACATGTTTCTATCTCAACTGTTTAGAAAGGTTTAACAGCCATAGATAATAAAGACTTAACACTGTTTTACAAGTGGTGACTCAATGTGAAACTGATGAGGATGAAATAAAATATCACAGCACTATATACCTGGGAGATAAAAACAATGACATTGAGGCCTCTAGATAAAACCTGGCTGTCAGACAGACCTTGGGATGAGTGAGTGAAATGATAGAAATAAAATGTCCGATACGACATGTGGCTATAAATAATAACAAGTTTTCATCTTTAAGATTCTTTGAGCTGATAAAATGTGCATGTATTCTGTACACATCGGATAAAATCCAACTATAAAAAAAATGAAACTGTATGTTTGAACTTAAGTAAAATCACCAATGGATGTATGCTAAAATATGACCACTGAGGGTCCATGTTGGAAATGGCACAAGAATTGTGATTATCTGTGCTTTTACAAAATATCCTTATAAAAATGTTCCTGTGTGGCTAGTACTATAAATAATATATATACTATATTCTGAAAGGAATGTCATCTTTTCTTAACTACTTATGAACAATTTATCAAATGAAGTGTCCTCTTATCGAAATGGCTTCTCTCCCATGCTAATCGTGAAGTTTGGCAAGATCTCTGGATCACATGATCTATCACATGACTCAAAACTTTCATATATCACAATATTCTGTTGAGGGTGGGTACGATATTGGTGGTTGGTCCCCACTTTGTCAACAGATATCTCTTGGGGGGCAGACCAAATCGCCGCACCCACCCTCAAATTCCTGGCATGTAAGTCAGATAAAATATATGAACCTTGAAGATATCAATGCAAATACCATAAAACCATGCACTACAATGAAAGGATACATTAATAGGTCCTATACAAGTGTTCCATGCACCGCCAAGAGTACATAATGGTTTCGCAAATCACAAATCACAATCGAAAAAACAATTTTATCGGCAACAGACATTAATTATTTTTTTTTATATTTTTTAACCAAGAATCTAAACCCTGATTTGCTACCAATAAATAATGCATCTAGAAGGAATTTTGATTGTTTGGGGTAATTTTTATACCAACACACTCTTTTGAAAAAGACTTTACAAAGTAGGTAAGAAAGCATACGTAAAATCACAATTCAACTTCTATATCGACACGCTACCACAGATACCATTAGATAAAATATAAACTACAATGAAAAAAAAGTATTGGAGCAAGGGAGGTAATTTTCTAAATATATAGATTCACTCTAGATATATCAGTCACCTTTGATCTTACTGGTGTACTTGATGTTCTGTAATGGGCTAAAAACAGATTATTGTCCCAAGTCTGCACACTTGTCATCAAAACTGGACAATATACACATCACCAGTGACATAAATAGCTATTTAATTCATTTCTATATCAATATTTTATATATATATATATATATAATTTATCAGTGATTTGAAAAAAAAAATTACTGTTACAACAAATATGCACAGAAAATATCTATTCTGATTTTGCATTTCTCCGCAACCGCTTATCACAGGTTTAAGTTGAATGTGATAATTCAATAGTGTGTTCATTAAACAGGAGTTGCTATAACAAACACCATTTGGCTGTAAGGGTAAGCAACAAGTCATAAGTTAAACAGTGTTTTCTGTTTTAAAATGTGCAGCAATAATTCAGATTCTCCCCTTCTTCTGACAATGTATGCCATCCAAACGAGAGTTATCCCCCTTGTTACTCGCTTGATCCATCACTGTTGGCGGCATTGCATTACAGCACATGGTTATTGAAGTGTATATATATTATGTACTCTTGGGTTTTATTGGTTAATTAATGTTATTGCTAATACATCTTCAGTGCTCTTTCAAACCTTCCAAATGCACCCCTTACCATCAGGGGATTGTAACAGTGGGTCTACCCAACCTAACTCAATCTACCCAGCTGACTGGGACAAAATCTACGCATTATCAGGCTCTGTACAGCATTCTTTCAAACTTAATAATAAATTAAATGTAATGTTTGCAAACATCTGACCGTCCTGTGACATTCTAACTATTCTCTGACTCACTTGTGTATTCAACAAACGTAACTGTACAAGGTATATATACCGAGGAAATGAGGAAATATGTTTTACTACATGTATATAATCTTACTAGTATTGAGTGACAACTATGTACAGATGATTTATTATCACAGTTCAACGTTACCAAATGTCCGGAAAAGTCAAGTCTGCATACAGCTGATACTCAGAAAACTAAGGTTACTAGGTGCAAACCCCTACAAACCAGTGGACCCATCCATATCAATCAAATTCAAGTCCAATTAACAAAAAGACAGGGGTAATTTTAAAAGTAATCTTTGTTTAAAAAAGAAATTCTGGCTTTCATTCTTTCAAAACGAAACATTAAAAAAAAATAAAAAAAAATATTGGTAGCAATTGGCAAAATAGAACAAAATTTCAGTTTCTCTAACAAAGAAGATTCAAACTTGGCCTATGATGCCACTAAAAAAGACATCTGATAGGCTGAATTTTTTGTTTTTTTGACCAATCAGGTTATTTTACACTCAGTTGTCTGGTGAAATTAGGGCCCGAGTATACAAATAGGTTAATTCATTTATGCTACATGCAATAGCTTGCTTCCTAGTGGGTAGACCCGTTTCATGCTAAAATCCCCCAATAACATGTTTTGAAAGCAGGTGTCTGGGTCCTTGTGCTTTTATATCATATATACATACAACAACTGTTAATGGCAATATAAAACTTGGTTAATAAATAAATTACTGGAAACTAATTACAGATGATATCGGAGGTTAACAATTGTTTCTCTTGCATATACTATGTGGTAGGAAAGGAAATAAGAAATTTTCATTCACGAAAACCTGGTTTTAAATACTCCATTATATTTCTTTTCAATCATTCTCAGTCTGGACTGGCAGAAGACTAGATCAGGGGGTTGGTGACATAACTCATAACAGAAACATGGTTACGCCAGGGGACATAACTCATAACAGAAACATGGCTACGTCCCAGAAGGTAATACTGGTCACTCACATATCGCTCTTTGACAATGTGGATAAATGATGTTTGAGAAAAATGTTAAGAGCAGATGGACAAAAAACACTTTTAACTGTGTTGCAGTTCACATACATATTATGCCAGTGATTTGAAAAAATCTGGTGTGACAGAAAATATTTGATAATAATAAAATTGACATGACCGAATGTTACATAACTTTTCACCCATTTTCTATGTTTACTATGTATACAAAAATAAAAAAATATCTGTTTGCATTTCGAACTTGCATGGAAATTGAAACCCGGGTTGATATTGAGTTTTTGTGGCAAAATGTTTATAATGTTAATGTTCTCGATGATTTTCTGCATAAATTATGTTATAAACCAACATCAAAATCATATTACTTGTAATGATTCATCGAACAATTCTTCTTCTCACAATTATCATCGCATGATCTGAATTAATTTCCGCATGATTATAACTGTATAGTCACCTGGAAATCAGCTTACAGACTCCCTCACACACACTGGCCTGCAACCTTGCACCTCAACAAAATGTCCCGAGACCTCCGACTGTCCACCCTGTGTAACTACAGCCCTCCTCAGGGTAGTTGGACCCGGAGAGTAGGATGATGACAGAAGCCAGTATCACAGAACCAGACGGCCAAGTGCAGCCCATCACTCTTACAATAATAGCACATTCAGTACAGTGAAGGAGAATGTCATCTACAGTGACCTTTTTTATAATAATAATATAAAAGGGTTAACAAAAAAAGCTTGCAAGGACCCAAACACCTCCAAAACATTTTAATATGAACTCGTACGAAATGATTAATCCACTGATCGCCATCACACTAATAAACACTGACAGCGATCCAAAGGTAAAGTATCTTGAAAGACTGTGTAGCTGGCACATCATCAAATAACAAGAAACCATGATAAATGCCGCGGATGACATATGGGTGAAATGTTGAGTCTGATGTACAGGGGCTACTGTGCCTGAGGAAAGTGTGTTACTATGATTCCAATATATTACAATGCAACACTCAAATGCTATAGTTGGTGTGTTATGTGTGAAAACAAAAAAAAATAATAAACAAAATCAATGGTGTATCTTTGAAAGACATGCAAAAACAATATTATTGTTATACAATTTTCATTATATAGATATCTATATATATGTATTTATATATATAAACATGGGATGGGCTGAAAAAATGTCTCTTCAACAAGCAATTTGGAAACAAAAACTAGGATAGAATAGAATGCTAAGGAAGAAGAAAAAATATTCTAGCTTGTTCCACACACAAAAAATATATAATTGTGGCGTATGAATTGCATACCCATCATTTTAAGAGCCTAGTGGCTGAAAATAAAATGCCAATGGTAAAGAAACATTCCTGTTTCTTACCACTTGGGGAGAAACAAAAATCAGGCCGACAATGTAAGCTATGTGTCCCCAATAACTTAGTGTGATGAAATCTGTTAAATAAATAATCAATAATGTGCTTCAAGTATCTCTTTTAGCACAAATTATGTGTAATGGCTGGAATAACAATCATTATTATTATCATCATCTTAATAATAATAATATATAGTTATGACAATAAATATCAGAAGAAGTCGAGAAAATAAACCTGTAAAACCGCTGAGGTTAGGAAAGGGTCACTTCTATATTACATACACATAGTTAACAACTTTCAGTTAAATAATAACAATCAAATTTGACTAAAACATTATATATTAACAAATTTAATCATACTCCATTAAAGGTAATATATTTTATATATTACATATATTTGTTTAGAAGTGATATAACTTATGAAGGCAAACTAATGTACATAACTCGCTATACAAGGGAGATAACCGTTGTAGCAATAGTATATATAATATATTATATCTTTATATAATATGAAAAAAAGTTCAACACAGTGCACACACACAAGTCAACTTAAATCCTAGAATATAATGTAACACTTGATTCATAAGCTATTCCAAGTTCCATTATGTTACATGCCAATCTAATGGCTTTTAAACGAAAAAGCTGGTTACATTCCAAAACAGTTCCCTTGTCCACTTTTCAATGGGCTTTACACATCTCGAAACAAAACAAAAACTCAGAAATTCCAACACATTCCTCAGTGAAAGACTACATAACGCTCTTCTCCTGTACAACACAGAGTGAGCAGAACTGATGACTTATCAATAACAAACCTCTGCCTTTATAAAACAAGAAATCAAACAAAATAAAACAAAACCCTTGTTATATAAAACTTGATTCATAACAGTAAAACGGACAGGCATACACAACGTCGCACTGTGGCAGAGGTTTATTTCCCTTATTTACTCGCTTTAGCAAAAATATGCTTTTAGAATCTTATTTTGGAAGTTGATCACTCACAGTTGATGGGTATAAAACAAATGGATTCTCCTCTGCTGACTGCATGACTTAGTATTTTCGTAACCTACAGCATCTAAAACAATGCAGTGTTGTGAGCGTAATGTATCATTACCTACGGTATGTAACTAAAGATATGTAGCATATTTTCCAAAAAATAAAGTGAGAAAGAGATCGATTTTCTGTTATAACTTGTATAATTGATGAAATGTCCGGTTTCGTTTTTGAAATGATTTGGTTAAAAGTGGCATACTCTCAAAAATCAAAATGTTGGCTGAATGAGAAAAAGTGATGAAACTTATTTGCTTCATCAACAACAGAGCACTTCAAAATGCACACGATTCCCTGTGGTGAAAGTTATGCCCTATGTGGCTTAACACATCAAAGATAACATCAATGTTGAAATGTTGCCGATTCGCCTGAACAGCGAGTGAATGAGAGGGACAGTTATGCATTCTGTATGAGGTACCATCCAAACCTAACCTATGCACCCCTCAACTCCCTAAAGGATTGCACCATTTCTTCCATGCAGATCGTCCCATCACAGGCCATAGGGGTGAGAAGGTGGGGAGGTGATTGGGCATGTGATGTGTAGAATGCACAACATAACATGTATTGACCTGCCCTGAACATTCCCTGCCATACAAGGACAGGCTTTTAAATATGAAACAGAAAAAAAAAATAAAGACAACATACATACCCTTATAATTTACAACAGTCATGACTATTTCATTAACAGATTGATTAACAAATTGAGTTTAAGATATCCACTGTACAAAATAACTCCTGGATAGAAATGCTCAAGTTACTGCATGCTTTCCAAGTACCACGCCACCATGTAACGCTTTAATCATCACAGTGTCAACACGTTCCCTGCAGTACTGTACATAACAACACAATGTGCCAGAGAAAACAGCATCAACTGAAAACTACACACGGGTTTACTGTTATAATATGGTTTGAATACTATATGATGCAATCACAATGGGTGCATATGTCACTAGGAAACCACAAAAAAAAAAATGAAATAAATAAAAAAAAATTATCATTAATAAAATGAAAAATAAAGACGAGGACTGATAAAATATTGAACAATATACTTGTTTGAAATGAGTTATTTCTTTAAAGCCTCTATATGTAATGTGATTTCCTAGCGAGCCGCTTGATGTGCTCTCTTGATTTCCTCCTGCTGTATACGTTGTTGTATTAGGTATGTTGCTTTCTGAATGTTGTTGGTGATGCCAGTTATTGTGACAATACGGTTACGTGTTCCTGGAACGTATACACCTTTTTTAGAGATCTGGATATTGGTTTGAGTAAACTTTTGTAACTCCACAATTCCTTTTCCACCAGGTCCTAAAATGGCGCCCACTATACTCTCGGACACTTCCAGATCCTGTTTCTGGGGTGGCTGTTTGTCCTCTGTGGGGCTACACATGCCAGTACCTAGACCAAATGAATTTTGATTCAGGTTGATGTTCTGGGAGCGTTCTGGTATGGCCTGTGGAGGGTAATTAGCTGGATTGCTAGTGTAGTTTGTGGCACCTGTAAACGAGTCATTCAACATGGGACTGCCACCATACCTCTCATTGCCTATACTAGGAGAAGAACTCCCAAACAGACTAGATCCTGCTCCAGTTGAGCCGGAACTCCCCAGTCCTGATGTACCACTCCCTACAGGGCCAAACAAGCTCCCAGCTGCAGAGTTACTGCTGGTATTCAGGTAGGATCCGTTGTTTACATTCTGCTGAGAGGAGGTCGGTGTAACCATCATATTTGTGGCTCCCATGGAGGAAGCCATGTTCATGCCAGCCATCTGGGCGTTACCAGCACCCCCTGCAACAGGCATGTTAGCCATCGGTCCCACATTGCTCACCCCAGGGACCTGATTAAGTCCAATCATTCCTAAAATTCCGTAACTAGCTAGAGTGTTCATTGCAATGGCAATCTCCTCTGTAGCCTGATCTGAATACCCACTGCTTCGTAGGGTCATTTTTAAATTTTCCAGTGCACCGCTTGACATGCTTCCACCAGGACCGCCTCCCAGGGCAGCGTTGAGGTTGAGGTTTGAAATACCACTGCCGATGCTATTGTTAAACCCATTTCCGTTGAAGCCTATGCTGTAAGCGGTAGCACCCTGTTGTGGGTAGTTGCTGTTATTGACAACCATTTCTGTGCTACGATTCTGTGTGAAGTTTGTGTTGGCGAAGGGAGAGCCTGTGGGATTAGCGCTGGCAACAGGACCTGTATAGTCTGCGTAACTGATGTTGGGACAGCTGCCACTCTGCGGGTCCTCCACTACCTTCTGTAAGATCAAGTCTACTGCCTTACGGTTGGCCTCATGGTCGCCTGGAAGTACAAAACATATCTGTGTCATTCTTCAGCCCAAGCAAACTTGACTTTGAACAAAATTTACTCAAGGTCATTTTTCAGCTGAATCAAACTCGAAATCAGCATAACAACATATTCAAAGTCATTTACTTAGCAAAGAAAAACCATACCCATGTACTTAAAATTCACTCTAGGTTATTTTCAACTACAATTTTCTCAAACTTGTCCTAAAACGTTCCTACAAACTCATTCAAGTCTTCAGGCAAATAAAAGTTACAACCGAACTGTTACCTCAATCTTGGAGGAGTGAAATCCTCTACAATATAGTCCTAACTTATATTTTCCTGTTTACCTTAAATCTCTGTAAGTTGAAAGGTTTTCTTTAAAAGCAGGCCAATCGAAATATATATTTTTTACACCAATGAATGTTATATTATCAAAAATAATTTGTAAAATAAATCACATATTCAAAGGATATTTTTACTGTTGGACGTTAGTGTTCCAAGGATATTTCCTTGTGACATAAAAGTGCTTTGACTTGGGGAACTTTCCAGTTACATGACAGTGTTTTGAATAAGGATTTTACCCGTGATATAAAAGTGTCCAAACTACGGTTATTTCCCAGTGAAATAAACGTTGGCAAAGGATATATATATACTTCCTCCCGACATTTAAGTGCCCATACTAAAGATATTTTTCAGTGAAACAAGTGTCCTGACTAAGGATATTTTCCAGTTACATTAATGTCCTCCCGACATTTAAGTGCCCAAACTAAAGATATTTTTCAGTGAAACAAGTGTCCTGACTAAGGATATTTTCCAGTTACATTAAAGTCCTATCTGGTTCATGACTAAGGATATTTTCCAGCTATCTGGTTCATGAGTAAGGATATTTTCCAGTTACATTAAGTCTTATCCTGATACTAGACTTAGTAAGGATATTTTCCAGTGACACAAGTGTCCTGACTTCAAAGTGTACAGACTATGAATATTTCCCAGCGACACTTGTGTCAATACTAAGGATATTTCCTTCCCACATGAAAATGTCCTCATGTAAGATATTTTCCAGCGAGATATAAAAAAACACTATTTCTGACAAAGCCTCCATTGTACATATTAGATGATCTCAAACAACATAATGGTGTGTGATTAGCCGATGGTCAATAAAGTCTGCAGTCTAATTGCCACAGGAGATGGAAGATAAAACTGTAAAAGTAGTCTGAGCTAAACATTACTACTGCCTACTTCCTGGCAAAACACTCCACTGGGTACCATCCTTCAACTTACCTGCAACAGTGACACACCGCTCTGGCAAATTGGTTTCCTTGGACTTCTGAGAAATCTGTATGTAGGCCCCGCTCTCCTCCTTGATCTGTTTAATGTAGTTGCCTCCTTTTCCTATGATCATCCCGGCCGTACTGTTTGGTACTAAAACCTTCACCTGCAACAAGGAGGGATGTTGTCGTTATTGCATGTCTGCAAGTGATGTTGTTGTTATTCAAGGTTTTAATGCCTGGGCCGGTGCATGCTCCATGCTATCGCCACATTTATTACTGCTTAACTTAACTCTATGTTGAATATCTGGCCGTACAGAACATCCATCAAATTTGTTAAAAAATAGTATATGAGGTCTTCACAGTAGCAACAACTATTGACCAAGCAAGACAAGCATGCTTCATGATTCAGTTACGACTCTCTGGGTACATTGAATTCTCTATGTCACGATCGTCTTCATTTAGTGTCAAAATCAACCAAATTCATCACCGAGTGTATTTATTTATATCTAAGTGGTCGTAAATTGGCTAATTATATCTCGAGTGAAAGAGGACCGCCCTAACAACAGCACCTGGCGCCATAGCTTCTACCACTTTTTACTGTTAGGGGTGCTTACAGAAGAAGCAGACGCCCAACATCAACTTAACCCTTTCACCCCTAGGTAACTTTAGTAGACTCTACTATACATTCATCTGGATGAGTCCATTGTGGCCCACAGTGGTGAAAGGGTTAAACCAAGCGTAAGACACCACTTTCGGTCATTTTTAGCAATTCTAAATCTTGCAATGTTCTAAAACCATTATTTCTTGCTTTTTGGGGCATTATAGTCTCCTTGTGCTGTCTAAGACGGGGAAAAAATGCTCTTGCCGACTGTTGAATTCCTCAACAACACCAGAGTAACTTCTGCAGAAGACAATACCAGCTTGTGTGTGTTTTTAATCATTCTCATTAAGTCTCCCTCAGTACATCATCATCATCATTAACCAAAACAAAGTTATATTTAACTCATTCACCCCTGCAATTTCATAACGAACTATTCCAACTATTGAATTGGAAGAGTTCAAATGTGTCTACAGGGGTGAACGAGTTAAAAATGCTGACCATTATTCCTTTCTGTGTAATTAACCTGATTCGATCTCCACATAATGGACGACGCAACAACATGTAGCTACCAGTTTACAGTAAAGCTATAGAGAAAGTATAACCTATGAGATCAGGTTATAAACTCACTTGTCTGTGTCTCTCAAAGTTTTTGTTTGTTTCGTCTGGTTTAGGATTGGGGTCAGGCTTTTCTCTGATCTTTTCCATGATGAAATTCTGGACTCTTCTGACAGCTTCTACCCCGCCCATGATGAGGCATACTCGTTCTGTTGTTCCTGTAATGGACAATGAGAAACAGGTAATTAAACAACATGAAAACCTCAAACATTTCTGAAATAACAAATACAGGGAAACCAATGAGAAACAGGTATTTAAACAAAAAGAAAACCTCAAACATTTCTTGTTTTAACTCATATTTCAAATGACACATCAACTACACAAGCTTAAATACAGATGGATCCTAACTTTAACTAAATGTCCCTGTAGTCCTGCCCCTCTGCCCTTAGGGAAGTTACCACTTTCAATTATAAATCAAATCCCATAGGGTTTCTTTTAAATGTTTCTATGTATTGGACCACTATTATGCTATAAGTAAATAGCTCACTCCATGCATAAACAGAATAAGTACAGCTAATTTTGTTGAGTATAGATGTACTGAGTGCATTTAGAGGCAAGGTAAAACTGAGAACTCTTGAATTTGAAAATGCCATCGTAAACAAACATGTACCACTTGTGTGTTTGAAGTGTATGATAACACAATGAGTTTGCTTTATAACATCATACTGTTAATATGTTATATATTAGGTTTTAATGTATTACAATAAGAAAGTATGTCAAATGGAACGAATACAAGCATGATGTCACATGTCATAAACTTAGTTGGTCTTTGGGAGGTTTTCGGCTACAAATCACTGGCCAAAACAGACGTTTAGTCAGCACATGTATGTTAGATTCGGTAGCTGCAGAATGTGCTTAGCAGTGTTCAAATTTAGCAGTAGACTTTTAGCACCTGACTATTAAAAACATTGTTTGTCTATCCTAATTCATCTATCTTATAGGCTGAACTGTCCAAGAAGATTTTCTCACTTTAAATAGGAACTTAAGTACGACTCGTTATAAAAGTACAAAAGGATTGTCGTTTTTCAACAACACTTCATCAAATTTGGTGGAAGAAGTTCATGAATTTATGAAGTTTCTTATGTATGACAATTCTGAATCTGTCTATAGTGCTTAAAATATTTAATTTGTAGTCCTGTAATAATTCACATGTTTTAATTTGATCCAAATGAGTAAAAAGTCACCACTATTGTATATACAACTAATACATAATACATTTTTTAACCTTGAAATTCTACCAATCATCACAAGCATTACTCTATAAAGATCACCGAGTTCATATATATTTCATATCTCCCAAGAAAATATAATTTGTACATTCTTATAACCGATAGTTATAGTGAATAACCGGTAGTTATAATTTTGCAAAGTATTAATTTTGTCCTCGACTAGGAATCATTTCTCTAACAACCCTGACTCCATCCCAGATTATGCCTTTATACATAGCAAGCCATTTTCTTAGGTCCCCTGGGTTGTGTTGTAAACCTGTTTTATTGTATATGGTGTATTACCTCTTATGCAGGTTAATGATCCCTTATACTCTGGACTACCCTTATACTTAAGACTGATTAGTGTATAGACCCACATGTGTAGGGCAGGCGTGTATCTGTGTAACGTTCTGTTGTGTGTGCTCAGCTGTGGTAGGTGTATTGCTCACCACTCTAGTGAACAAGTCTTGTGTGACCTTCAATACACATTATTGATCATAACATAATACAATCAAAGAGACTTGCCAACCTCAGCAGGTCAGCTAAAGCTCATTTATCACACACCCATACACAGACGGATTGGAGACAGTATGAGACACACCTCACTAAAGTAGATATATGTGCAGCAGTCTGTGTCAACTGTTAGGTATACAGGCCCAGACAAGCAAGAGTTGTGTCCCCTGACATGTGTGCCACTTGTAATAGGATAAGAAACCTATTGTACATACACAGTGCCAGGTGTGTACATACACTAACAGTATATACCTGGCACTCAAGTCTTATTATCCCACCAATAGATAAATGAATAGCTGATAGCCGTCTGTAAGGCAAAGATATATATGTCTGCAGGTAAGCATTATTTCAAAGACGGACAAATTTATATACATAATTATACAGCTCAGGTGTCCCTCAAGGGATAATTCTGAACAAAAACACAAACTCATTAGGCTTTTTACACTCATCTGATGGGAATTATTTAAACTTTAACAAAAGGAAGAACAGTACCAAGTTTGAGCAAAGATAAAAGGTCCTTAAGGGGTCAAAATTATTTAGGCCATGAAAACCATCCTAAATTTGTAAGAACAACAAAACTAGCACTATTACCTTGTCAAAATCAGAATGTCTATTTTTGACAAAATTAGAAAAATCTAAAAGTTTCAAACAATACCTGAACTGATCTTGGACTTTGAAACAGAACTGAATTCAAGCTACAGTTAAATCATTCCTACCTGAACAAAAACATGTTAGTACTGTATGAATTAGCCAAACGAAGTCCCCCAGCTACCAACTTTAACCACCTTCCACCTCTTTTCTCCTAAGAACATGAGCAAATATTCACTTTGAGTTCAGTCACACGATCACGGACTGACAGAGTCAGTTGACCGATATTTTTTTGGCAGTCGTACGGCTTAACACTAACAGCCATAAGTTGGTGAGGACTTCATTGATGTTTTGGTATTATACCCCATGCCAACTCTTATATGTCCTGTATAAACTTCTATTCTCCCAGTATATATAGGACAGTCTTGTACCATTTACCCAGCATATACCATTTAACTTTGAATCATGTAGGAAGGTCAATCTGTTATCTTATTTGCATAAAATACCAGTTCATCTTCATATAATTGGTCCAGCCATGGCTACTGTAGCCCCTTGTGGGGAATCGTGCCAGTGTCTAGTTTGTGACATTCCAGTGAGTTCGCACTTTAACCCATTCACCCCTAAAGTCAGATTGAACCTTACCATATCGAAAGATGTGGCAGGTCCAGTTTAAAACTGTATAGGGGAGACTGAAGTGGTCTGTGCTTGGTCCCATATCATTGTGGGTGCTGTCCTTACATTGTATGACCTTAATCTTGGACATAAAACCCAGATCAATCCAATAGCAAGCCACAACCATCGTATTTATCAACAACATCTCCCTGTTAGAGCTGTAAGTCTACAACTTATAAAATGGTTTGAAAACTGTGAATATCCTTGAAAGAGCTACTGTATTTTTTTTTTTAGACAGCTACCATTTCTTAACTTCATCAATTACATGCAGAACATGTCCTGAAGAATTCACTTTAATGTTCATCCTTGAAAACTGGCATTGTTACACAGCGTAATGCAAATGCAGGAAAATAATAAAATGCCTTCACCTTCATTTGTATAAAAAAGTGACACATGTTCTGGAGCCATATTATGTACAAGTATGACATAATTTCACTACAGCATGTTTATCCCAAAATTCTATGTCCTTGACACCTGTGACACTCGAAGTGAACATACATACGGAAAATTGTGTCAGAATTTTAAACAAAAATGGCTTCTATTCCTACCTACCTCCAAATCACTAGTATTCCAGTGTTTCCTCACACCAATTCTGTGTAAACATCTACGGAAATTTCCATATTGATATGCTAATGCACTTTTTAATTGTAATATGTATTCTTCTTTAGAAAAGGTTGCACGCTTTAATTAGACACTTCTCTTGGTAATTATATAAATTATTAGATGCTAATTAAAACATTTTAAAGAGATGTTATGATAGTGTATTTCTTTAAGGGAGGTAACTCCGACACAAATCACTTATATGATGTTTTGCAGTTTCGTTAAGCTTTGATATTGCATTAACAGTTTTTTTTTATTGATATGATGATGGCCATCAGGAGGGACAACAACAAAATTTAAAGCAAAAAATTCTATTGTTTCACCACCCTTCCTGCAATCTGGGACCCCCAAACCCATCCTCCAAAAAAACAAAATCACATGGAAACAATATCATCCCACCCTTAAGGCATTTGATTACTGGAACATACATTAAAACAACTTTCACAACTGTATTATTTAAATCATTCAGAAATTTCCTTTTCCTTACTGCGTTTCAAAATCAATGTATCCAAAACACTTTTAACAATAACCGAACCCAAACAAATCTGTGTGTTACAAGCAAGGAGACAAACGATTTGCAATATCAGCAGTGGTGCAAATGTGGAAATATTTCTGACAATGTTAATTATGTTTCAGCAGGCTTAAGAAGATTTCAGCCCTGTGTGAACACTAAATAATTAACTCTGATCAATAGTAGTCCTAAGGAGAGGCAAGTGAATTTTAACCTTGTGTGTGTCTTGTGGATTTGCCAATTCCATTATTGATGTTTCTCGGCCTTCAAATTGTTCAGCATGAAATTATCGGGTGACCTCGTTGAGCTGCTACATGCGGTGTCCAATTTTCACGAATATGTGACTGTCAGACATGTGTTATCTCCCCTTGCACCTTGCACCAAGCACCTGTGTGATGGCAAATCCTATATATATTGTGCCAATCAAAATTTCTGCTGTGGCAGTATTTCAGCGATGATTATCTCATAGAACCACCATGTACCCCTGTCCTCTGACGATGAGTTACCTTCCCTAGCTTACCCATATTATTTGACGACACCTCTATCAAATGGAGTACAGTAAGGGGATGTCCATCTTTAATACAATTGATGTTCTCATTATCCGAACAACTGAAGTGTGTCGAAAGTAACAAATTACATTGAATGACTGTAGCTCATTTCAGCGGTAATGTTAACCAAGGGAGAGCTGGTGGCTCCAATGGAATTTCTAGCAAAGGAGACAATTGCTGCTTCATTAGGCTATTCACAAGACCTTTCCCTAGGGTTCACTATACTCAGTACACCATCATGTTACAGTGTCATTATTTTTACTCTGGACAAGTTTTCAAGAAAATGAAGTCACGATATATTCATGTTTTTCACAATATTTATATTTCATACTAAAAAATATATGTCACACATTTTGTACTTCAATCATACATGTTGAAATGCAAAGTGTTACTTCCGATACAGGCAACTGAATTTTAAAGAGATCTATCCGTTTCATGTTTTCTGTTACTGCTTCATTAAAGCTTCACAAATACAAATATTTGCTTTCTTTCTTGCAATTCAAACAATTTATTGTAAACGAAAAGAAATACGAGAAAATTTCAAAGAAAAAAGGAAAACACTTGTGATATACGAAATACTCGGCCCATCAATAACTTAATAATTTAAACACCTCGCTAGGAAACCAAATGTAATTAAATGCCTTACATCTCTGGTCAAAGAAGAAGATAACGAATGACATTTCTCAGAAGTGAAGGCGTGTGCCCGATATCACCTTAACGTTGTCGGTCTTTCCATCATCATTTCCTCCCCACTTAACCAGTGGACGACATCTGTATAAGGAGGTTGAGACTACACCATAAATCATCCGTACAAATTGGGAGGGCCCTAACCTATCGAGCACCGACAGTTCACCACAGTATAAACACTAATTCCTAACCTTCCTCTGGTCAACCTTCAAATTCACATCAGCAACAACATGATAATGGAGAGTTGCATCCGAAGCCCTATTATGGTAACACCTCGTTTATATCGTCCTCGCAATGGGCTCTATCATTGGACCAAACACCGACACGACAGACCCCCCTACACCAGCCAGTCCTCCATTTATACTCCAATACATTGTACTACCAAACCATTAAGTTTTCTTTTCTGATAATATATCATTGCATTAGAATTTGAGCCGAGGAGTTGAGGCCACTTGATCGGTTCTGACAAAAGCTGTGTCAAAACTCTGAGAAAAGTTGAGACAGACCGATGGTGGTCGCAATCCGAGGGCGGTGCAGATTTCTCATCTCCTAGACCTAAATTGTTGATTCTAGGAAGAAGGAGTGCAGTGATGGACGGATTGGTTAAGCTTGTGAAGCCAGGAGAACTCCAATATTGGCGCCATGCCAGAGACTGCCAATTTTGGCACAACAGCCAAACAGCAAACCCCATCCTGGGGCTCCAACAGTGGACGCTGTGAAGGATGCGAAGGAACCACAGCTGATATTACTTTTTCACAGGTAAAAGTAATCGTTAGCAACAATAAAACTCTGACAATTGCCCACTACAATACATATTTACCTACATGTACGATTTATTAATAATCTGACATTGAATTAATAGACAATTATGTACTTAGAACATATTACTTATCTCACCATCCATCACAAACATTTTAAGACAGGAATGTTACGTCTTTCTGAGTGTGTTTAAGATTCGATTGGCCTAAAATCAAAATGAATCACGTTGCCTAATGTATAGACTCCACATACAGTGGGTTGCTGATTGTCAGTCACAGAACTAAGGGAATCCCAATCATTCAAATCATTGTTTTTTTCACGATATATTTCACAACAAACAAGGACCACTATCCTTACCTTCCTCAACCCCAGGGGTACATGTCTGTATCACTTGTCCCCAGGGGTACATGTCTGTATCACTAGTCCCCAGAGGTACATGTCTGTATCACTAGTCCCCAGGAGTACATGTCTGTATCACTAGTCCCCAGGGGTACATGTCTGTATCACTTGTCACCAGGGGTACATGTCTGTATCACTAGTCCTCAGGGGTACATGTCTGTATCACTAGTCCTCAGGGGTACATGTCTGTATCACTTATCCCCAGGGGTACATGTCTCTATCACTTGTCCCCAGTGTTAATGTCTCTAACACCCGACCCCAGGGGTACACTTGTCTATCTTGATCCCAGGAGTACCTTTTTATATCATCTTCCTGTTTGTTCATGACCCTCATAAGGATAAAGGTTCAACCCATCCTAATCATTCTTGCCCTAGCTATAGTGGTACTGTACAGATAAACGGATCTCCATCTCAACCTCACCCCCAGGGGTACAGCCACAGCCATTGACTCCCTCCCCATCCCCTACTACTTTAGAGGTATAGGTCCACCACCATGTTCTTTCCCCACCCATGGGTACATATCTCCACCACCCTGTTCTTCCCCAACCCCATGGTTACATATCTCCACCACCCTGTTCTTCCCCAACACCATGGGTACATATCTCCACCACCCTGTTCCTCCCCAACCCCATGGGTACATATCTCCACCACCATGTTCTTCACCAACACCATGGGTACATATCTCCACCACCCTGTTCTCCCCCAACCCCATGGGTTCATATCTCCACCACCCTGTTCTTCCCCAATCCCATGGGAACATATCTCCACCACCCTGTCCTCCCCGATCCCATGGGTACATATCTCCCCCCCCCTGTCCTCCCCAACCCCATGGGTACATATCTCCACCACCATGTTCTTCACCAACACCATGGGTACATATCTCCACCACCCTGTTCCTCCCCAACCCCATGGGTACATATCTCCACCACCATGTTCTTCACCAACACCATGGGTACATATCTCCACCACCCTGTTCTCCCCCACCCCATTGGTACATATCTCCACCACCCTTTTCTTCCCCAATCCCATGGGTACATATCTCCACCACCCGGTCCTCCCCGATCCCATGGGTACATATCTCCCCCCCCCTGTTCTTCCCTAATCCCATGGGTACATATCTCCGCCACCCTGTTCTTCCCCAACCCCATGGGTACATATCTCCACCTCCCTGTTCTTCCCCACCCCCATGGGTACATATCTCCACCACCCTGTCCTCCCCGATCCCATGGGTACATATCTCCACCACCCTGTTCTTCCCTAATCCCATGGGTACATATCTCCACCACCCTGTTCTTCCCCAACCCCATGGGTAAATATCTCCATATCTTATCACTTTCCTGGTTAGATCTTATCCACCACATAGGTAAAGTTCCACCACCCCAGGGGTACAGGTCTACCTACCATAACATCCTCCCCCACCCCAGGGGTATACATATCTGTAACCTGACAAATCATCCTCCCATTCCCCCGGAGAACAGGCCTACCACCTTCTCACTCTCCCAAATATTCAGACGCAGTAACATAAGATAGAACTGAATAAAAAATAGTAGTCTGCATAGAAAATAATACTGTCTTGTTCAGAAATTGTAATAGGTTAAGACTGCTGCTCAAACCTTTGATTATTAATCAGTATCCGTGTTGACGTATAGACTAAATTGTAAACAAACATCTAATATACCTAAGGCAAACATTTACTGTAAACATTGGGAATTCAATTATGAAGAGCAAATAACATGGTTAAAAATAGGCCATATCATAATTGACTGCATTTAAGCATTTTTGGAAAATAAGCATGATGGCAGGACATTCCGAAATTTAAAAACTCAGCCACTATAATGTCACTTTTGCAAGTCGTTCAGTAATTATTTTTTCCTCCAAAATTGCCAAATTAAGGTGAAGGGATGGGATGTCCTTACCAGACAAAGGATAAAGAGCATAGGTTTAAGGAATAATTTGAGAGGCTCTTAGATGGAAGTCAGTAATCACCTGTTTTGAATTCCATTCAGAAACAGATTAATTATTACGTATATCACTTGTTGTTTCCCTCTCCTCTGCTCTGTATGATCAAATTAAGAATTCATCTTTTTTTTTATTGACAAAGCATAGTTAAAATGCATGTTAAGAATTTTGTCTCGGAGACTATAATGGAATTTGGCAATGTATCTGAATGCTTTCCTTTCAAATGTGTAAGGCTAATTCAATATAATGGCCTGTTATTTGCATACAAATGTGCTATTGATCAGACCGGGGATATCACCTACGACTCCTTTCTCCCTCTTCACCGATGTCAAAAGCATATGACCTATTAAAATTCTTTCTAATGTTTAATCAATAAACATTCTTTATCATGGGACTTAAGTGTACAGATTAAGGAAGACTCCCGGGAGCTGGCAAGAGTGATACGAGTACCAGGAAGCCTACACTCTGTCTTATACATGTACAGTACCACACCTCAAAACCTTTGCAGACTCAGCGTTGGTTGTAATCATTACGAAATTAAAACCTCGTTTTATATTCGCACCATCTGTAATGTGAAGTTTTGACTTCAGCAAATTTAAACCGTGGCGTGATAAAAAGCAACATTTTGACAGCTTATTTAAATTATATAATTTGTTTACCCATGTTTGCTTAGCTTCAAATTTCAACATGTATAGATGTACCAGTTTGTTACAGATGTCACCTACATGTACCATGGAAGACAGACTCTGTTGGTATACACGTTCTTAGCTGATTGCAGTAACAGACTTTGGGGACATTTTGGACAAGAACAGATAATTAGAGATGACATCAAAAGCCAACTCATGTTTTCTTATTTTTACATCTCTTTCACCAAAAACTTAACCTGGTAATTTGGATGAACGAACAATGTTTAATTTCTAAAAGGGTAAAAAAAAAAAAAAAAAATCAATGTCAATGTCCCTGTCCCCCCCCCCCCCCCCCCCCCCCAGAAAAAAAAATAACCTCCATGTAAAATATCAGCATGCTAGACCATGTATATATATTGAACAAGAGATCCTGAAGGATCATGGACTGTTGCGGTTAAATGTGCGTTTTTTTATTTTCATTTTTCTGTTGATGGACAGACATGTGTGCGTGTTCCTGAACAGAGATCATGCAAACCTTGCTGCATCAACATCTTTGAGAGGCTTGTTCTATATGGTTCAAACACATAAACAGTTAAGCCTCCACAGGACTTGACGTTTAATCTCTCACCCACACGTGCTGATGCCGCGGGGATAAAGTGAGCTCTCTGTATTTCAAACATATAGTAATATAATGGTACCTACCTGGGTAGAAGTCGTTAGCTTTGGACATTTTCACTCGGGCGCCAGCTTCTTTCTGTACTTGGGCGATGGTTTCGCCGCCCTTGCCAATGATAGCTCCGGCGGCGATGCTGGGGACGAGAATCTTGAGGTGTATGTTGTCCCCTGGAAATAGAATGAAAATGTTTAGTATACAGTTATATATAAGTTCTTACCTCAATACAAGTCATTTGCATTGATATGTCTGGTCTATGCCCCACTTTGACCATCAATGCACATATCAGAGAAACTAACTTAAACGCAAAAACTTAATGTTGATGGATATGCTGACAAAGTCAATGGACCATGAAAGGTAGGCCACATCCAGCATTTGATGCATGGGTTGAGATGTACTACCTAAGATGCATACCTTAGATGCATCTGTGGTCCAAGTTTGGTTGGTCTAGCACTTATACTTTCAGTGAAACTAAGTTAAACGCAAAAACTTAATGTTGATGGAGATGCCGACAAAGTCAATGGACCATGAAAGATAGGCTGCATCCAGCATTTGATGCAGGGGTTGAGATGTACTACCTAAGATGCAACTTTGGTCCAAGTTTGGTTGGTGTAGCACTTATAGTGTCAGTGAAACTAACCTAAACGCAAAAAATGTTGTTAATTAAAAACTTAATGTTGTTAATTAAAAACTTAATGTTAACGCTATCACCGGAAAAGCAACACCTTATATAGTCTCGCTTCCTCTTTGTGGCGGCAAGACAAAAACCTCAACATTATTTATTTTTTTTTCATTTGCCTATTTTATTTTCCAAATTCTTTTAACGTCTCCCTTGCCAAAATTATGCTGTAAGTGGTGTCAATGTGATAATGATTTAAAGTACACCTATTTGGACATCCTGATATTAATAGAATTTCAGAAAAACTTCTGAAAGGAAATGAAATGAAGTAGGATCACACAGCTTCTTATGTCAGGGTTATTCATTTCCACTAGTCCGAGCTAGCCCAGGTCTAGTAGATCTTATGTTGGGGCTAGTAGATCTAGCCCAGGTCTAGTAGATCTTATGTTGGGGATAGTAGATCTAGTCAAGGTCTAGTAGATCTTATGTTGGGGCTAGTAGATCTAGCCCAGATCTAGTAGATCTTATGCTGGGGATAGTAGATCTAGTCAAGGTATAGTAGATCTTATGTTTGGGCTAGTAGATCTAGTCAAGGGCTAGTAGATCTTACGTTGGGGATAGTAGATCTAGCCAGGGTCTAGTAGATCTTACGTTGGGGATAGTAGATCTAGGCAAGGGCTAGTAGATCTTATGGTGGGGATAGTAGATCTAGTCAAGGTATAGTAGATCTTATGTTGGGGCTTGTAGATCTAGCCAAGGTCTAGAAGATCTTATGTTGGGGCTTGTAGATCTAGCCCAGGTCTAGTAGATCTTATGTTGGGGCTAGTAGATCTAGCCAAGGTCTAGTAGATCTTATGTTGGGGCTAGTAGATCTAGCCCAGGTCTAGTAGATCTTATGTTGGGGCTAGTAGATCTAGCCCAGGTCTAGTAGATCTTATGTTGGGGCTAGTAGATCTAGCCCAGGTCTAGTAGATCTTATGTTGGGGATAGTAGATCTAGTCAAGGTCTAGTAGATCTTATGTTGGGGATAGTAGATCTAGCCCAGGTCTAGTAGATCTTATGTTGGGGCTAGTAGATCTAGCCAAGGTCTAGTAGATCTTATGTTGGGGCTAGTAGATCTAGCCCAGGTCTAGTAGATCTTATGTTGGGGCTAGTAGATCTAGCCCAGGTCTAGTAGATCTTATGTTGGGGCTAGTAGATCTAGCCCAGGTCTAGTAGATCTTATGTTGGGGCTAGTAGATCTAGCCCAGGTCTAGTAGATCTTATGTTGGGGCTAGTAGATCTAGCCCAGGTCTAGTAGATCTTATGTTGGGGCTAGTAGATCTAGCCCAGGTCTAGTAGATCTTATGTTGGGGCTAGTAGATCTAGCCCAGGTCTAGTAGATCTTATGTTGGGGCTAGTAGATCTAGCCCAGGTCTAGTAGATCTTATGTTGGGGCTAGTAGATCTAGCCCAGGTCTAGTAGATCTTATGTTGGGGCTAGTAGATCTAGCCCAGGTCTAGTAGATCTTATGTTGGGGCTAGTAGATCTAGCCCAGGTCTAGTAGATCTTATGTTGGGGCTAGTAGATCTAGCCCAGGTCTAGTAGATCTTATGTTGGGGCTAGTAGATCTAGCCCAGGTCTAGTAGATCTTATGTTGGGGCTAGTAGATCTAGCCAAGGTCTAGTAGATCTTATGTTGGGGCTAGTAGATCTAGCCCAGGTCTAGTAGATCTTATGTTGGGGCTAGTAGATCTAGCCCAGGTCTAGTAGATCTTATGTTGGGGCTAGTAGATCTAGCCCAGGTCTAGTAGATCTTATGTTGGGGCTAGTAGATCTAGCCCAGGTCTAGTAGATCTTATGTTGGGGCTAGTAGATCTAGCCCAGGTCTAGTAGATCTTATGTTGGGGCTAGTAGATCTAGCCCAGGTCTAGTAGATCTTATGTTGGGGCTAGTAGATCTAGCCCAGGTCTAGTAGATCTTATGTTGGGGCTAGTAGATCTAGCCCAGGTCTAGTAGATCTTATGTTGGGGCTAGTAGATCTAGCCCAGGTCTAGTAGATCTTATGTTGGGGCTAGTAGATCTAGCCCAGGTCTAGTAGATCTTATGTTGGGGCTAGTAGATCTAGCCCAGGTCTAGTAGATCTTATGTTGGGGCTAGTAGATCTAGCCCAGGTCTAGTAGATCTTTTGTTGGGGCTAGTAAATACCATGAAAATAAATCCCTGGCTAGTAGATTTTTTTAAAACAAACTAGTGGGAAACTAGTATAAAATTTCTAAATCACAAATTGTACATCCGTGTTATATGTAGACTGAATTCTTCGGTTGTCCTTTAGTTTTTCGGATGATATTGATGTGGATATGGTGGTAAAGCCTGCATCCACTTGTATTCTATTAAATCCTACAACACCTTATAGCAAAACTGTACAATATTGATCATTCCTATAGATCTGTACATTTCCTATTGCTAAGATTGATAACACAGCTATGAGTTATACACTGGTCTCAGGCAGGCCGTATGGAGAGGATTTCCACAGGACCTTACACCCTGCCAAAATCCTTTGTGAAGATTTTGTCATACCTCATTTATAGCCATGATTATTTTCGCTATGATTTGCAGCTTTTAGTGTTTCCCCGTTTTCCCGGCATTATACAGGCCCCATTGTAAAGGTTTATGCATATGCAATACCCCACATACTTTCGGATTGCAACAGTGCATTTTGCGCATTTGTATATATTTCTCAAGGGCCTAATCTGATGTGAAATATCCATTCACACAATATACAAGTACAATCTCGGACATCAGATTAACACACATGTGTGGTGGTGTTGTTTGTATAACATACCTGCAATTGTTCTTAATCTGCATTTTAAATTTTCAACAAAACATTACGGACCCGATATCCAAGTTCAAGTTTGATTTGTTTCCCCCAAGAACTGAAACCAAACAACAATGGCAGACAAAATAACATTTAAGACCTAATAATGACTTCATACTTATATTACCATGGCATCAAATGGCACTGAAAGGTTGCAAATCTATTCATGTTTCAATTCGTCCATTTGATCCGAGGATATTATAACAACCGAAAAGTTCCAGTCAAAAAGGAGTTTTGGGACTGGTAATAATACAATAGTGAATATCACAGAGTGAAACCCATGACCTTGTATTGTATAGCCTAGCTACAAAACAGTATAGAGGTCTGTTGTAAATGATGTGTATACACCAGTTGTACCCAACATAGTACACGCTAAATCTATAAACCTGTACATGTATGTAGATCTTATACACCTTCCTAAGGAATCAATAGTCAATGTCATTTAAAAGGCAACAGTGGCCATCTTGAATTTACAATAATCAATAAGATAACACCACACACAATTATTTTGTCATTTACAGAAAGTTGACGGTCAAGATCTGAACGGTCAGGTCGTTGAAATGGGAAATGATCAACAAGAAAGGTGAACACACACATAAACCTTTACCTATGGAAATGGGTATAATAACGTTTCACCAAATCAATTGACCATATGGAATACTGAATGGCACGTAATGCCATAAAATAAATTCAGTGCTGATAATGATCTGCTGTGTGACACGAGGTAACCGATGGACAGACACACATGAGCAAGTACAATACACACATACATGTCTGTCATAAAAACAGAGCGCCCCTGTTGTGTTAGCTGTGACATGGTCATCCGCTGTGTATTATGGAGCCCACATGAACCCAGGTAGTAGTAGAATAGTGCTGATTCAGCAATAACATTATCAGCCCACACCAGTCACGCTCAACAAATAACGATGACCTAAACACCATGTCAGCTTTCTTAACTCAAACGGATGTCATTTCACTGAATGCGCTGTGTTTTGGGCTCACGTTTACATTAGTATAAGCCACTCTAGATTTTGATCATATACTTTAGTAACCATTTGATTTTCTCCTTTGCCATTCACGCAATATCACCAAGCATGTTAGATTTTTGTCACATTCTTCGTGATCACCATTTTATAATCCATATTGCCACTGATGCAATTTCAGACACAGTTTTAGATTTTGTTTAGTCTCATCAATAGACAACTCCAAACTCTGTCAATATAATTCCACAGAATGTGCTAATTTGTTCACGCCGTCAACATCAGGCTATTTAATTCTATTTCACAGTGTTATTTGTTGACACTAAACTGGGGAAACACTGGGAAATATTATCATAAAATACTGCAGGCATGTTACATTTGATCGGGCATAAATCAATACCAAGTTCAAGTGAGCCAGGATCAGCAGCTAACAAGTCATGTTTTACATCTGGGGAAAAAATCTTCACACCCCCCCCCCCACACAATGTAACATTGTATTACTTGCTNCCCCCCCCCCCCCACACAATGTAACATTGTATTACTTGCTTTAGCAAGACTTTTATTTTGCATTAATTCCCGAAGAGACTTATTTGCTAATTTAGTAATCTTTGGCGATAATTAATTTCCATTTGGTTTGGTTTGGTTTGATCGTGTTTTACGTCCTATTAACAGCTATGGTCATTTAAGTACGTGCCAGGTTTTGGTGGTAGGGGAA